AAAGTTAAAATTGATGGGTTGTTGTTCCTCTTCATGTTTTGTGTTTCGTTTGAAGCACCATTGTACATAGTTTCACCTTCGGGACTCCCCCCCTGCTCCCGGGATTTGCTCACGGCGCCTTCACGCCACGTATCGTCCCACACTTCCTTTTGCGCAGCACTCACGCCTAAAGACCTCGGGAGGGACAGACTGGAAAGATGAGGGACACCGCTTGTGCGGCTTTTTTGCAGCTCCAGCAAAAGAACCTGGGGGAAGCAGCCCCGACGACAAAGTCTCTTCCACCACCACCCAATCCTGTTCTCGGACATCGAAGCCACATGAAAAACCAAATATTTGGTCAAAATATGCCTTCCACGAGGAAACACTTACCTTGAGATGCTTTTTCTATTGCCCCATCTATTAGCTTCTCTATGGGCGTGGGAATATTGAGGGGGGGCTCTCTGCTTTTCTACAGATACAATTTCTCCGCACGATAAAAAAATGGTTAGAAATCCTGTCAAGTCATGTGATTGAATTATTTCCACCCCTCTTTTCCTCCTAAACTCCCCCCCCCATTTTAGAACAATACTCGGCAGCTTTTTTTCATTATGTCAGACAAAAATGGCTGATGACAGAGAGGAGGATCACGGCTGCCGTTGCCATGGAATGCTTGGCTCTCCTCGCCACTACTGTGGCTGCAGAGGCTTCAGCCGTGAGGCGAATGCGGAGGTTGATTAGGGTCTGGTATCTCCCAGTCATGCCTTGAATGTAGGAGGATAACTCTTCCTGATTCCTCCCCTCTCTTCCCCCTCCCTTTTCCTACTTCTCCAGGCTAGGAAAGTCTATAGCAGTGGTTCTCAACCTTTCTAATGTCGCGACCCCTTAATACAGTTCCTCATGTTGTGGTGACCCCCAACCATAAAATTATTTTCGTTGCTACTTCATAACTGTAATTTTGCTACTGTTATGAATCGTAATGTAAATATCTGATATGCAGGGTGTATTTTCATTGTTACGAATTGAACATAATTAAAGCATAGTGATTAATCACAAAAACAACATAGCAATGCTCGCTGGAGAAGCTTACTCTTCCTTGCTCAAAAATGTTGGGAGGGAGGGAAGGGGAAGGAAGGAAGATTGAAAAGGAAAGGAAGGAGATGGAGAAGGAAGGAGATTGAAGGGGGAAGGAAGGAAGGAGAGAGAGATTGAAGGGGAAGGGATGGAGATGGAGATGGAAGGAAGGAAGGAAGGAAGAT